AGGAAGGTGCGCATGAAAGTCTTTACGGAAGACCATCAAATTACTGATTAGGAAGGTCTTTAAGGAATGAACTTCTATTACAGGGATTCTTTTATTAAGACCTTTCGGATAGATAGCCCTATTGAATGAAGGTTGAACACCAACCCGCCTGGAAAGCTAAGAGTCGGCAAAGACCTAGCTGTCGAGGAATGAAAGAAGTCGCTTTCTAGGAGAAGGAGTACGAGGAAGTCAAGTCACAGGCAAGCAACCAACAGGCTAAGAGCTATCTCCCAACCTCTCCCTTATTGACAAAATGAGAGGGATTTCAGGCAATTAGCATATAAGAATTCCTGCCCTAGAAGATCGCATTTCTGACTTGAGCACCGTCTTTAGGCATTTCAGTTCTCAGGATCTTACGAAGAAAGGCTAAAGATCGTACTGAACACAACCCTATGATATGAGTGAAGGCGAGCCAGGAAAGCACCCTGAACTCATAGGGTGAAGGCGAGGAAGCTTTCAAAATTTCAGGGGCTCCTCTAAACAAGAGTTTTGACTAGGTAGATTTGCCCTTCTACGCCGTTTTAGGTGAGTTCGGACTCAATCATTGACCGGAGATTGGGACAGAGCGGATGGCAACTAGCTGACTTCTTCCTGTCACTCGTACAGATCTGATTGAAGATATTGCATTAGAAAGGGATACAAAGTAACTTCCGAAGATTGAAAGAGAGGCAATCCCAGTTCGATACTGGTCTTGTTGCACTTCTTCGAGTTAATGACGGATAGCCCGCTAGGGACTGCTTGGCTTGTTAGCGAGAAAGCGCATAAAAGAATGCCATTTCTCGATCGAGAAAATAGGCTCAAGTACATTAGTCCGTCACTGCCATTTTGACTAGGTGGATTTTGCCTTCTAGTTGACTTCTTTCTGCGGGATACCCTAGTTAGAGCAGTGAAACCTTTAAGGCAAGAGATGCGGGCAAGTCAGTCGCTAGAACTCCCAGATGCTAATAACTCGCTAGAAGGGGTAGAAAGCCTGTTCTTTTGGTACAAATCCTCTTTCTTGAATGAAACTAGCTAGCTGTCTTTGAAGTCAAGTACTTAGCCGGAAAGGCAAGTCCATCGCGGGCACTACCCGACTTATTTCGGTATTGCATATAAGTACAAGTTTAGATGTGGCCATCTAGACAAGTGAAACGGTCCTTGCTGTCGAAGTTTACTACTGGATAGGAATTCCATCGGTATGGCATTAGAACTGCTCGGAGAAGTTCGATATTGAAGGTATACAGTTCGATAGATCGGTATTGAAGTGAGATATTCAATCCTCTTTCTATTGAATGGTATTTCACTGCCTTTCATGTACAAGTATTGCAACTGAGACTGAGAGACAAGGGAGATCCCATTGAACTTGCCTTGATTGAATGAAGGCTAGCTGACTTCGATACTGAATGAACTCGCATGCTGGAGAACCGATGAGAGACATAGTCGATGCCAATATAGCTGTAATTTCACACTGAAGCTTTTCCCTTCGAAGAGTTGATCTTTCATTTCAAAAGTGGTCTCTCCCCAATGGAGAAATGATGCTAGCCCTTTTTCCTTCGATGACAGAGATTGAAATGGATAAAGTGGATTCTCCCTAATGGTGAAATGAGACTGATTTCAGTGATTGAACTGATGGCAACTAGCGAGCAATCTTACTCAATAGGGGCTTTCCATCTTAAAAGCCTTCCTTCTTGCTTGCTTGCGAGAAGGCTTTCTTGCGTTCTTGCTTAGCTGGGGAGGCAGTGGACCAATAAGCTAGCTGTCCCAACCAAGACAGGAGCTAGCCTCTTATCTTAAAGGCTATCGATTTCCTCCTTGAGGAGCAAGGAAGATCAGAGGTCACACTGGAAAGCTATCAACTAACCTGTAAGAAGACTCTTTCTTTGGGCTTCTTCTTAGTCCGTTAGGTAGTTGCCTAGAGCTATTAATAGACTGAAAGGGGAAGAACGACCAGTCTTCCTAGCGATGTACAATTCTTTTGGTATATGAAATCTCGATGTCTAGGTCAATTCAATATCGAACAGAAAGGTAGCAATTCTTTTGGCACAGTCTTTTGGTATATGCAATTGAGAAGCCAAAGTCAGATAGAAGGGCTTGCCTTCCGCACTTTCGTATACCAAATACGAATTGAGAAGTGACTTTGTACAAAAGTACATTGTACCATCAGTCAATCAAATTTCTCCTATCCATTTTGAACTTGATTTTGTACCAACTAAACCTAAGCCAATAGAGCGTCTTGCCTTCGCAATATCGAAGGAGAAATGTTGTCAATGCTTTCATAGATGCCATACAACCATCCCTTCCCCTCCTAGTCCAAGAAGAGCTTCCCCTCCTTCCAGGCCCTAAAAACCTTGCTTCCTAAGCATACTGATAAAGAATTAGCAGAGTCGTCTCCCTCCTCCTAAAAGAGAGAAGCGGGCTAACCCAAGAGAGAGACCAGCCATAATTGCTCTTAAGGTTAGTTAATGGCTTTCAAGGGCTGAGGGACATTAGCCACTCTCCTGCTCGTACCTCGCTAACAACCGTCAACAACCAGTGTTGCAACAACTCCTAAATCAATAGGGCCATAAAGACTAGTCCTACTTGCCCTAGAGATTAGTTAATAGCTTCAAAGACCGGCAGGAAGTCATACAACCTAGCTCTCCTTACTTGATAGGGGGTCGGATAGAGGGTCTAGTAAACTAGCTGAGTCATTCGAGAGGCTTCAAACTTGGCTAAGCCTTCACATAAGCGGGACTGCTTGCATGTCCATCATTAGATTTGCGGGGTAGTGGAGGGAGTGCTTCCTCTCCTTAACAGTCGAGCTCTTTCTTTCCTCTCAAGGAGCATGAGCGGAACGGAACGGTATCAAGTCTATTAGTCGGAGAGGTCGTACCGTCGAGCGAGTTGGGGAGCTCGACTAAAGCCGACCTGAGGGAGGCCTACAACCGTCGGTCTAGAAAGCTAGTAACTCGGATCTAGGACTAGGAAGGGAAGGCAACTACCCGAGTTCAGGGTCTGTTGGTTTAGAAGTTCTATATTGAAGTTTCGTAGTGAGATATTTCAGTTAGGTAGTGCTCCTTCTCGAATACCAGACTGAGAGTGGGAGATTGACATCCTTTCAATCTTGGCTAAGAGGACTATTCAAATCCTGGTGAAGTAAAGGACTATGAGAATTCTCAAGTCGATGCGAATATAGGGCCATTTTGATGCGGGAATTGTGCAAAATGAGACTTTCAGGGAGATAAGGCAGGGAAGCCATTAATGGTATTTCATTCGAAGTGGTGTATTTCAAGTTGGAGAGTTAGGGAATTCAATCTTGGTATTGAAAGTGCGGAATCGTATTGCCGAAGTGGGCTATTTGGATAGGAATGAAATAGGTTTTAGAAGGTACAAGTATTGAAAGAAATCCTGTTTACAATGAGTTCTCAATCGCAAGGTCCTACCCGAGTTACAGAAAGTTGCTGTCGGCAAAGAAGTCTTACCAAGGATAGCCACGGCTTTCATTGAAAAAGGATAGGCCACTCGCTGAGCGCCCTAATCAATGAGGATAGGTTTCGATGTGGGGTATTTGCTATATGGTATGGTACAAAGTCAGTTTCTAATTATTCGTGTGGGGAATGAACGCAAACCGCTTCAAGGCAACGGGCTATCTCCCAACTTTCACTTTAGGAATGCCTTTAAGGCTAGCTCTCTCCTTTGGTACTCAATTGGGTATATTCCGTAGTGAGATAAGGAATTCAATCGTATATGGTATTGTACAAATACAGTATGGCAGGATTGACTAGCGGGATGGTTTCAAAAGAAGGATTTCTTGCGGTATCGGTACTCAATAGGGAACTTAAGGGATAGGAATGTACTTTGAGTTCTCAATTCTATTGCATTAGAAAGTGGGGAATTCAATCGGTATGGTCGAAGGCAATCAACTGCCTGACTTCTGTAGATTCGTAGTGAGATTGACTGAATTCAGTTTGACTGAGAGTGAGCAAAAGCATCTTGTCAATTGAAACTGCGATTAGTAAATTGATTTCCAGAATCTAGTTGGACTTAGAGTCCGATGCCTATCTTGTAAGTCTTTACAGAATGGACTTTGACTTTTGAAAGTGTGGAATTTGGCAGGATTGAAGGTATTAGGTAAAAATCCACTTTCTTGAATGAAGTGGACTGGGAAGGGAATGCGAATAGGATAGGTTTGCGAAAGACCGAGGTCTTGACTTCTGCCTGTGCCTCTCGCTTTCATTCACAGGTTAGCCGAAGTCCTTTGAAGGTCTGCTTGCACGGAGATAGTGATTCGATCTTCCCTGCCTTCCTTCGTAGTGCTTGCGAGATGGACTCTTTCATCGGAGGGTGCTATTTCACCCATTGGTCTTGAGAAATCCTACTTCACCTACCTTTGGAACTCAGATCTCAAGAGAAGTCTTGACCGGACTACCGGACTCCCGGTCAGTGCTGCTAGACCTCTAAGCAAGTGTTGCTAGACTTTCCTGGCTGTTGTTGCTGCTCTTACAACTGCTAGGCAAGTTACATGAGTGAGGACGAACGAATGGAACGAATACGGTGAGATACGATTTAGAATCTCTTGTAGTTAGGCAAGTGGAGGACAGTGATCTTCCAAATGATCACTGGCCGGAACGATCTATGATAGCTATTAACTAGTGCCATGGAGTCAGTCAGTCTAAACTCTATAGCTCAACAGTCTAGTGCAGCTAATGTACGAAGGAAGCAAGAAGTCAGCTAAAAAGTATGAGAATCTCCACTGTTCAATCAACAACAACAGGGAGGGATGCCCCCGAGGGCATCCCGATCGATTCAATCAACAAAGCAAGTGTTGTGAGCCCACCGGCGAGTGAGGGCTAAACGGTATTTATAGATTGAAACTAGAAAACCTTAATTCCTGAACTAGCCTCATGAACAAGCCAGTCTCAACTTTCCTGTTCAACTTTCTAGTGCGTCTATCTAAGGATAGATCTCGGTATCTGTGGAGAGGAAAAGAATGAATCCTACTA